CCGCCGCCGGGGCGGCTCTGCCCGGCGCTGCCGGCGCGAGCCCGGCGAACAGGCCGAAAGCCCGAGACCCGCGGGCGGGAGCAGCGCGGGGCTGCTGCCAGGGGAACAGCTGCTCTTCGCGTTCCGAACGCTGCAAAACGCCGCCTTTCAACCCGCCCCGGAGCGCTCCGGAGCGTCTCTGGAAACGCAGGCGGTTGTGCAGGGCGATCTAGCACAGGGATGACTTAACAAATCGCTTCCCTTGCCCCGCTTGTCACTTTATACTTACCCATTGTGCAAAGAAATGGTAAACAAGTGCAAAATGCTCTGCTGCTTTCAGAGTGGGTTTATCAGCACTTTGGGCTTTCCATCCTGACTTGCTACTTAAAAACATGTGCAACATTACAGTCTTGTGCTGTTAATGCCGTGTAATAAAGTGGAGCCTTAGGTCAAAAAGCTGATTTTAAAGCACCTGAGGAATTCCTTGATCACTTCTAAAGGCCTTGACATTGCAGCAGGGGCTGAATTTAGGGTCTTGGTGTGAGTGAAGTGGGAAGTTTTGCAGTCCAGCAAAAGGAGGCTGCGCTTTCTATCTCCAAGAGCCTTCCCTCTCTGTCCTCTTGTACCAATCCCAGCTAAGGTGCAGTTTTGAAAGGCATCGGAGGGTGCATTTAGCCAATTTTGGATAAAATCGGGGCTGCAGCAGCAAAGGGAAAGTGAGTTCCGTGGTTAGAGGAGTGTTGTGCAGGTCCCCATGGATGGTTATTGCACTTCTATGCGTGGGAAGGCTGTGCTGAAACTTTCAGTTTGCTTAATAAAGTGGAAAACTTGCTATGAAAGTAGTTAGCTCTACATTTCCAGAGTCAGTTGGATAAAACTGTTGCCTTAAATGGGTGTTGTAAATAAATAAATAACTAAATAGATAAATAAGGCGTGCAGCAAGGTAATCACAGTCTCCAGGGTGAGCCTATTCGGAAAGCTTAAAAACGATCGTTCACCCAAGGAAAAGGCACTGAGCGGCCCAGAACTGGCGGGGCAATTCAGTCCACTTGAGTCCCGGTGGGAAGGAGGGAGTTTGAGGGATCTCCTTCTTCCCTGGGATCCTCACACGTATCTGCAGCCTCTTTGCACCCTCCGCGCGGGGCTGCCGGGACTCGCAGGGCTTGGAACGAGGAGCATCGCGCTGCACTTGGCAGCTGAATCATTTATGTTTCCAGGATTTATGAATCGTTTTCTGTCCAGATTGCCATTCGGGTCTTCTCCAGCGTGCAAAGCTTTTAGAGTAGCTAAAGCTGGAGCAGAAAACACAGTCCTGTAATAGCTGTCATGTCATCCTGCGAGGCCGGGGGTGTGCTCCAGCTCCTATGGGGTCGCTTTTTTAATGAATAAATAAAATATTCCAATTTGTCTGTGTGTGCAGGGGGACATGAGGCTTTTCTAAAGCCCCACACAGCCCCCCCAAACAGCATCTGCAACTGGGCAGTTCGCTTGCTTACTTTCTTCCGTTCCCTCTTCTGTTCCCTCTTTCTTTTCTTTCTTTTGTTCCCTTTCTTTCTTTCTTTTGTTCCCTCTCTCTTTCGTTCCTTCTTTCGTTCCTTCTTTCTCTCCCCCCCTCTCTCCCTCTCCCCCCCTCCCCTCTCTCCCTCT